TTAATTACTAATAATATTATTTGTTATAATAATAAAGGAAAATAATTGATGATTAATTGATTTTTATTGCATTCATTGATTATATTTATTGAATGTCAGGGTTTAAAACACTAATTCTGAGTTTAAAATGTACATTCTTTTATTTCTATTATTAAATGTTACATCTAATAAACAAGAAATTTTGGAATGTCAGTTGGAATTTTGGAGTGCCAATTTTTACATTCAGTGGCATTTTAACAAACAATAAGAATGTTTTTATTGTTATTTTATTATTATTTATTATCATTTATTATTATAGGTATTTACAATTGTTAGTATTATTTTTTTTAGTTCTTAAAAAATTTTTCATGTTTAGAACTGATTTTTGAATAAAGATATTATCAACTTATTTTTATCAATTCATTATCTGTCATTTTATATTATTTATTAACTATGTAGCAATTTTTATAATAAATATTTTTAACATTAATATTATTGGTTTGGTTGCTGTTATTATTAAAAAGATCTCTATTTGTTGTTTGAGTGTTGTTATTGATAGCATCATTGATGATTTCTCTTAAGGGTGAGTGAAATGGTTTATTTTTATATGGTTGAGTAACATGTGTAAATTTCTAAAATCATATAATTAATACAATAAAATAGAAATTTGTATACCTCTGTGCATATTATCATATATTTACACCTAATGATTTAACACTACAACCTTTATCACTCATGTCATCCAGCTCCTATTTGAAAAAATGGAAATAAGATTATTTTGAATGAATGAAATATATATATATATATATATATTTACATCAAGATTATCCTCATCTTCAGTATCTTCAGGCTCTTCATCATCAAAAGAATCAATAAATTTAACATGTTTCTAAAGAAAATGCAAAAGATAAAAAATAAAAAATATATGTAATATTAATTTTTAGAAGATTTAAAATGACTTACATCTGAACCTGTATTTTTTTGAGATGTTTTATTTGAAGTTGATGACTCTTGTGATGTTAACACCATTTGAAGAACATTGCTTATTTTACTAGCTTTTTGATATATAGTGGGTGCAATATATGATCCCATGCCCTTGAAACTTTTATGACCAGAGATTGTCATCACTTGTGTGTCATTGACACCACTTTGATATAACCAATTTAGACTAGTAGCACAACCAGAATGGTTGACTATTTTTCTTCCATTTAAATTATACCAGCATCGAAACATATTGTTTTTATGTAATTTTTGATTTTCTCAGTTCCAATTTTATGATCAAGATACCATACATCATTGATTGCTAAAATCATAAAATTTATTAGATGTATTAGTTTTGAAAACTAACCATTGTGAAAAGTGAAATATAAATAAAAAAACTAGCCTGAATTGGATGAATTAACTTGTAAATAAAACTCTTTTGTAATACATAGTGTTGGTTGTTTACTCAAATAAGATATAATGTCATCATAAGCTCCTTGATGTTCTTAATCATGTAGACATAGGATATTTAGTAATTCATTATTACCATCAAGACCACCTTGATCATTTTTATGATGAAATTTGGTGAAAATGACCATATCATCACATATATCAAGCTGACATTTAACATTTTTGTATGTTCACCACCACAAGGACAAAATACTAAACAGACCATATAAATACTCTCCTAGAAAAACCTTCGGGTATATCTTTTGATGTTGATGGGTGATTCAGAATTTGTTTGATTTCATCTGGTGAAAGTGTGTCAGCCTTCTTTGTAGAA